AGATCAAAGCCAGGACCTCATGCATATTAGGAAAATACTCCACCAGCTGAGCTACAGTCTCAGCCCCAGCAATCTTAAAGACAGGATTTCACTCTGTAGCCCTGGAACTGGCTATGTAGACCAGGCTGGCCTTGAACTCACAACGATCCATCCGCCTGCCTCTTTCTCTCTAGTGCGGAGATTAAAGGTGTGCATCACCATATCCATCCTCAGCTATGAATCAGTTTTGACTTTTTTTCCGTCTTGAAAAGTGAATAGTTTTCAGGATTTTTTCTGAGTCTTCCAAGTTTTTCCCAGTTCCACGTTGATGGGCACCACTTCCAGCCCACATTTTGGCTGCCAATGCACTTTCCCTTAATTGTTAAGTCCTCGGAGTCTGGTGGCAACATGCACTTTTCATCTTGTCTAGTCCTGTGATGGGACACTACTACTTCTTGTAGTCTAGACTCTCACTTCCCACAAAGTTCATCATTGGGATGATCTAAAAGCTATCGAGCGGGCGGGCTGGACAGATGCTCATCAGTTAAGAGCACTTTTTGCTCTTGTAGAGAAGCCTGGGTTCAGGTCCCAGCACCCACGTGGTGGCTCACAACCATGTGTAACTCCAGTTCCAGGGCATCTGATGCCCCTTTCTGACCTCTGCAGGCACCTGGCGTACACATATGGGCAGAGAAAACCCTGACACATTAAATGGATAAAATCAACCAAACTAAGAAAAAGAGAAAAAGGTATAGGTGCAACAAGAGACACATCTCACAGTGTGACTTCTGGAATGTTCAGTCTAAATGTTCAGTCCTCTGCCCAGGGAAGGCCCAAGTCTGAAACAGAGCACAGTAGTTGGAGCAAGAATGACACACCTTACAAAGCCTTCCCCCCACTCTTTCCTTTTATGATGTATTCTTAAGGTGAAGCATGGATTTCTTTTTCTACCTAACTCCATTTGCCTTCGTATTCAAGGCTGCTGAGGATTTCCTATTGTTTTCTGTCAATCTCACTATTTTGATGGGCTTTTAATATTTTCCTCTAAGGTCATGGATTATTTTAGTGAAAGTTATGAAGTGTTACTGGGAGGTGTAAAAGCCAATTTTCCTCATTTCCTCTTTTAACAAAGTCATCTGTAGCTCCATGGATTATTCATGAATATGTTTTGTTGTTGCTTGTCATCTGATCCCATAGTTCTGGTGAGAAATCCATCATTCCCAGAGCAATTCAAATGCATCTCCACTGGCATTTACCCATGCAGTTCCCTTTGGCACACATTCCCTTCATGTTTGTCTTTTAGCAATTCAAGAACACAAAGTTTCAACCACACTGCCTTGTCTCAAGCCAGAGGACACTGACTTCATATTTTTTGACACAAGGTTTCATTCTGTTGGCCTGACTAGCTTAGAACTTTCTATGTACACCATGCTGACCCTGAATTCACAGAGATCTGATAGACTCGCTGCCAGAGTGCTGGGATTAAAGGGTATATGCCACCACATCCAGCTTGACTCCATTTTTTAGTACAACGAAGTTAACCTCAATGTAATAATATGAATTTACTTTTGGCACAGGTTCTTGCTGTGTATCCCAGGATAGGCTCAAAGTGGCAACGACCCTGCCTCAGATTCTTAAATGCTGGGACTACGGATGTATACCACCATACTAAGTTCCACTATGTATGGAATTTTATAAAGAATATATTCCTCTTGAAGGCCCTGGGGGCACACTTTTAATCTCAGCACTTGGGAGGTAGAGGAAGGCAGATCTCTGTGTTGAAGGTCAGCCTGGTCCACAGAGTGAGTTTCCAGTTCAGCCAGAGCTACATAGTGAGACCTTGTCTCAGAAAACAAAAACAAACAAAAGAATAAACTTCTCACAAATTCAAATCCATGTGTTATCAGTTCAATGCAAGTAAACTGTTTCTAGTATTTTTCTATCATTTGAAAATTTTACCAAAATTATTGTAATCTGTAAACTTCCTGTTCCTGTAAATGTTGCCAGGAAGATAAGTTTTAAAACTTGCCGAAATTGTGCTGGGGGTGGTGGTGTACAACTTGAATCTCTGAAGAGCCAGGCAGAGTTCCAGAACAGCCAGAGCCACACAGAGGAACCCTGTCTTAAAAATAAAGCCAAAAGAACCAGCCCAAATACCTTTTTTTTAAACATTTTTTATTTTATTTGAGAGAGGGTCTCTATGTTGCTCTGGCTGTTCTAGAACTCGCTCTGTAAACCAGGCTGGCCTGGAACTCACAGAGATCTGCCTGCCTCTGCCTCCTAAGAACTGGGATTAAAGGCTTGCACCACCATTGCCTAGCTATTTTATTTTTAACTAATTGTTAAACTTTTTATATTGAGTTAATTTTGCTGTCTCTAATTTTCTGTATTTGAAAAACCTTGTCAGCCTAAATTTTGTCAAGATATAAATCTTGACAAAATAGAACAAACGGTAATGGTGCTACCATACCTGCAAGGGAGGGTGGCTCACTTAGAGTGGGTACGGGACACACACCCAGACACCAAGTTCTCAACCCCAGAGGGACAAGCAGTGGGCGACTGTCAAAAAGGCAGACAGTAAGCAGCTGCTGCAACTGCATGCAAGCAAGCAGCACACAGCTGTTTTGCATAGTGGATTTTTGAGGAGGAAAGTGGGGGGGTCTGTGCTATGGTGAGTTGGTAAATCCCGATTGAACATGTTAGCCAAATACTGAATTTTGATTGTTGGACCTTGGTGTTTTGCCTCAGGAATGAGTCAGTGGCCAAATAATGGACTAGACCCTGAGGGCTAGCTTTAGGAACGTAATCTAACAGTTTAGCAAGGTAGGGAAGGGTAAAAGGTAAAACCTGGCAGTACCATGTTTGCCATGCAGTGATCTGTTGGATAGCCCTACAATACCTCTATCCATCTGGCCCTACCTGCAACTGTCCACTTGAGGGTTGCCTCAGCCCACAGCTCTGGCCCAAAGTGCTGTGGTGTTACAGTTGGAGGAAAAGTATCCTAGCTTCCTACTCTCTCTGATGGGATGATGTTAACGTATGTTCTACACTGACTTCTAGTTCCCAGGGAGGGAGGACTGAATCCAATTACACCCAGAAAATAATACATGATAATATAATTACAGACTCCATTCCTATCCTGTAGTCATTTTAGAATAAATAATTTGCAGGTTGGTCAGATGGATCAGCAAGTAAAGGTATCCCCTCTCCAAAGCTGGTCTGAGTTAGCGCTCCAGAACCAACATGGTCGAGAGAACTGACTCCTAATAGCTGTCCTCTGTCCTACACACACACACACACACACACACACACACACACACACACACACACACACACACACACTGGCAATAAGCCCATACACAGAGATAATCAATACGTAACATTTTAAACGTTATTTCTATGTGTGCACATGCACATGCTGGTGTACATGGCTGTGAGCATTCATGTAGGGCAGAAGAGGATATCAGGTATTGCCTTCTGCCTATTCTTTTTTTTTTTAATTTTATTTTCCAGTTTAAATTTGGATAAGAAACAAGGTTGCTTCACAAGTCAGTTCCAGGTCCCTCTCCCATTCCCTCCCTTCCTCCCGAGCCCTTCCCCCCCCCCCCCCGCCCCGTTATCCCCTCATTTCCCCAGGGAGGGTGAGGCCCTCCATGGGGGTGTGCATAGTCTGTCATTTCATATAGGGCAGGGCCTAGACCCTTCCCCAAGAGTTTGGGTGAGAGTGCACCTCACATTGTTCTATGGGAGTCCAAAGTCCGTGTGTATACTTGGGATGGGTACTGATCTGCTGCCCAAGGCTCAATAGATTCCCTAGGCCTCCTCACTGACACCCAGATTCAGGGGGTCTTGAACAGTCTCATGCTGGATTCCCAGGCTGATGCCTGGGATTCAAGAGTTAACCTTTGTCTGGTCAGCTGTTTCTGGGGGTTAAACCAGCCCAGTCTTAATCCCTTTGATCATCAGTCCTCCCTCTCTGTTACTGGCTTTCTTGAGTTCAGCTCAGTACTTAACCAAGGGAGTCTGCCTCTTCTTCGATCAGCCACTAAATAAAGTTTCTCTTTCCCAGACTCTCTGGCCATAGGATTGAAGGCTGGCACTCCCCAGATCTATGTCTAAAATCCATATATGAGAGAGTACATGCCATGTTTCTCTTTTTGTGACTGGGTTACCTCACTCAGGATGGTTTCTTCTAGTGTCGTCCATTTGCCTGCGAATCTCATGATTCCCTTATTTTTTTCTGCTGAATAGTACTCCATTGTGTAGATGTACCACATTTTCTCTATCCACTCTTCAGGTGAGGGACATCTAGGTTGCTTCCAAGTTCTGGCAATTACAAATAAAGCTGCTATGAACATATTGGAACATTTTGAGCTGAAGTTTCTCCCTAAACTTAGGGCTTGCACTTCTAGGACAGGCTGGAAACCAGTAAGCCCCAGAGTTGAGGTTACAGGAATACACGGAATGTTGGGTTGTTATGTGAGTTCTTGGATCCAAATTCCTGTCCTGATTGTGAAACAAGCTCTCCTAACTGGGGAGCCATCTCTCCAGCGTCTTCTACTGCATCTCCTGTCCCACTCTCCGACCTTCCTTTCCTGGAATGGTGTCACAATTAACCATATTTTTCAGTTCTCTTTTGAAGGGAGTCCAAATTAAGATTAGACATGCAATTGTAGTCAGGTGGTGGTGATGGATGTTGGTGACGCATGCCTTTAATTCCAACACTCAGGAGACAGAGGCAGGCAGATCCCTTTGAGTTCGAGGACAGCCTGGTCTTCAAAGAGAGTTCCAAGACAGGCTCCAAAACAATACAGAGAAACTCTGCCGCAAAAAAACCAGCAAAAAAAGAGAAAGAAATGCAATTGTAGGCTGGGTGGTGGTAGCACATGCCTTTAATACCAGCACTCTGGGGAAAGAAGCAGGCAGAGTTCAAGGCCAGCCCGGCCTGCAGAGCTAGTTTCAGGACAGTCAGGGCTACACAAAGAAATAGTCTCAAAAAAACAAACAAAAATGCAATTGTATAGTTTTGCCACTGTATATTTTAATTTTTATTATTTGAAAGTTTTATACATTTACAATGTATCTTGGCTATATCCTTGTATTGTCAGTTTTATTGTGTTTTTTTTTACCAACTCAGTAATATTTCCCATTGTCATTTATTTTTAAATTCTTAAACACTTGAGTTAAAATGAGCCCAGACATTTTTTTTCATTCAGAACAAATTTTGCAAGGCATTGTCTCATGTTATTTCTGCCAGCAGTAGAATCCATCAGAGTCACAGTCTGAAATGTTCACCAAGCAGGATAAAACACAATAGGGTCAGGCGCATGCTTTATCAGAGCTTCTTGCCTTGTCTGACCTCCCTACGCATGTTTCTCTTTCCTCCCTTGGCAGCCCCTTTTCCGTTATCTTTCCTGTTGAGAAATCCTATTTAATCTGCATGACCTAGTGAAAAGTCAGTCCTGTATGACCAAGTAGAGTCAATTCTTCCATGAAACTGGTCCTCATCTTCCTCAATGGCAATTAAAACCCTCACACCCCCACAACAGGTGGCTTTTGCAATCTAGCACTTTTTATTTTCAGTGATTTCTTGTTGTTACTTACACTCCCTCATTAGCAAAGTGGATCTTACTTGGGTTGTGGTGGCAGGTGTGTTAATGGGAACTGAACCTTAAGTCCTTACTCATGCTAGGCAAGTGCTTTACCTCTGAGCTACGACCCCAGTCCTTTTTGTGTTTTGAGAAAGGATCTCACTATATTGCCCAGGCAGGCCTTGAACATGCAGTCCTGATGTCTCAGATTGTTAAGTAACTGAGATCACCACAGTTGCCCTCTCCCTGAACCTGACATTACGCCTTTAATCCCGGCACTCAGGACACAGAGGCAGGCAGATCTCTATGAATTTGAGGCCATCAGGTCTACACAGAGAGACACTGTCTCAAAAGAGAGGTGGAGGGAGGGAGGGACAGAGTTGGGGAATGAAACTAGAATCAGAATTAAAATATAAATTTCATCTATTTGGTATCTGATTATTTCTTTTTGAACTATAGCACTCAGTACCAGTGAGGATATAGCAGTCAAGTCAGATCCAATACTAATACACATATAATGCTCTACAATTTTCTGGACCCAAATCCAGCAATATTTGTGAGGGACTTTGAGTTCCTTCTGGACCATAAAGATATGGTCCAGTGCTAGAACTCTTACTTGGTACACCTAAGGCCCTAAGTTTGATTCCCATCACTGCAAAAATAAGTAAATAGTGTAGTATGTTTTGTATTCCATCTTCAGAAAACTACTTTAGGGAACTACTTAGAAGTTAGGATGCTGTAAGTATAGACAGAAATCAAAAGAACTTTAAATTTATGACATTTGTGTGGGGGTGTGCATGTGCCATGGTACACATATCATGGTATACCTGTAAAGTTAAAGGACAACTTGTGTAATTAGTTCTTGTCACCATGTGAGACCCAGGGATTGAACTCAGGCTGCCAGCAAGTGTTTCCCAGCTGAGCCATCTTACATTATACTGTAAATTACAGTATATATTTCAGAACATCAAACAATCATTAAAAATATTTTCAAAGAAATTTAAAGTCCTAGGAATTTGCTTCTAATACAATTTTATGGGAGGGACTTAAATTTTTAACACACATTCATTGTAGCAGCTTTTTGGGGAGAGGATTAACTTAGCTCCTGGAAGTCCTACTCCTTGCAAGTTGTACAAATTAATTATACAAATTCTTCTCCTAGAGGAAGGTAGGACCCTCCTTGTGAAGTGAAACCCTCAACATGGTGTCATCTTGGCCAAACATTGGTGTCACAACCTAGAATTCGACTGGGCCTGCAGGGAGTAGTCCTACTTTATTAAGCAGAGTGCCTACACTAAAGATTATACTCATTTTCTTTGTAGTTCTACAGCTAAGCTTAAATTTTTTAAAAAGGATTTATGCATATGACTATTTTTCTTGCATCTATATCTGTGTAGCATGTGTAACCTACAACTGGAGTTATAGATGACTGTGATCCACCATGTGGGTGCTGGAAATCAAACCCAAGTCCTCTGCAAGAACAAGTGCCCTTAAGTCCAGTCCCTTTACTCCAGTCCCTTAACTAGACTTTTTAAGAGTATACTGTGATCAAACATTTAGTTTATATGAATATAAACAAAAATCAGAATGAGTCAAGTGAACTTCTCAGAGCCTTTAGTAATTAAAATGTTAACCTAATAAGATGTTTCTCTAAGAAAGAAGAATGGTATCCAGTGAACATTTTCTTACCCCACATTTTGTGAGACTGATGTGCTGCCAAGCACCTTTTGGTCTGTTTTACTAGGTATTTTTGGCCTGAATCAAGAATACTGAGATGTCAAGGGAAGCATTTGTTGACAACTATGACAACTATACACACATCAGCCTTCCAGACATGAGAGCAGTGGTAGTAGAAATGAATGGAGGGAAGCCCTCAGGGAAGTCAATCTTGGCAGACAAGCTCTCTAATACAAGTCTCCCTCCTCAATGGGAGCATTGTGTTGGTACTCCTCCAGTTTTCTGGGTTCTATTTTTATTGAGGACATACCATGTGCCAGATATTAAGTCAGATCCTTGGAAGACAAAAAAAGGACAGTATCTGTCCTTAGTGTACAGTTAAGGGTACAGTGGAGAAAGCAGTTATCACGTATCAGAAGAGGTGAGGTGTAGATAGATATCCACAAGGTGCTATTATTAAGACTGAAGGGTAAAAGGTTTAAAACAAGAAAATGTGTTACCAAGACTGGTTTATGAAAGCCAAGAAAGGATGAGCTAAAAGAGGATGTGACGAGGGGTGTGGGTAGAAAGGCAATGAGGCTTCCGAAAGCATGGCCTATTCAGAAAGCCATATAGGATGTAAGACACTGACCAGGAAGTTGGGGGTGAAGCTCAGTCGTAGAGGTGTTGTCTAGCAGGTGCAAGCTTCCATCCCCAACAGGGAGGGCAGGTCAGAAAGACAAAAGGGATTACATGGCACACCAATGAGTTAGGACCTTACTCTCAAGATGAAGGGCAATTATGGAAGAATGTTCAAGTTCAGGGTCAGTTTAGCTTTAGAGAGCTCTCTCTGGCAGCAGTGTATAAAACAGAATATGGAACTGATCACAAAGATAATTCAGAAGTCTAGTAGGAACCAGGCTGCAATGAAACAGGCTTGGACTAGACAAGTATGGCTTAAGATGGTGGCTGAGAGTTGAAAGTGGCAAAAGACCAGTGTGACGACAGACCTGTATTCTCTACACTAGGAAGGCTGAGGTAGAATCACCCAGAGTTCAAGGTCAGCCTAAGATACATATTGAGACTGTCTAAAAAAAAAAAAAACCTCAACTCACATGTTGGGTAAGGACAATGCAGATTTCTGCCTTGAACTCAAAACCGTGTGCCAGATGTGAAAAGAAAGGATGCAGTAATTTGAAAAACATATGTCCCCCAGTCTCAGGCATTTGAACACTTGGTTCTCAGTTGGTGGTGCTGTTTGGGGAAGTTAGGAGACATGGCCTTACTGGAGGAATTAATTGCTCCCGGGGTGGGCTTTAAGAGTAAAACGCCTATCCTACTTCTAATTTGCTCTCTTCTACTTCAGGCTTGCATCTGAGGATGTGAGCTCTTCCTGCTACTACCACCACGACCCTTCTTGCTGCCATGGCCCTTTGCTATCATGGACTCTCATTCTTCTGGAAGCATAAGCCAAAATAACTTAAGCTGCTTTTGGTTATGGTACTTGATCACAGCAACAAAAAGTAACTAATACAGGAGATAAATATGTTCAGTTTACTATGCCACTGTAACACTGAGGAATGTTCAAGAGCTGGCTGGAACCCTGAGTTGAGAAATGTGGACTTGCTGGATGGCAGAACTAAAGTCTGAAGGGAAGCTATAGGTGTGGCTAAGATTATGTAGGAAGAGTGTAGATACAGAAAGCAGAGCTAAAATCCCAGGAACTATAACCTCTCACTCATCTAACTCCCTACAGCACTTGCCTATAACCTACAATGGAATCTGCCATGCTTGGGATTTACTGTGAACATAGTAACAGGCTAGCCCTGAGGGTCTTTTCATTCAAGGCAGTAAGAAATGGTGTCTGTTCCCAAGGAAATTATCATCTAGCTACGGAGAAAGAATTCTGTACTACGTTATTGTGCAAAATGAATGAAATCAAGAGATACAAATGAGGGGGGCATACAAGAGGCAACTAATTCACTGGGTAGAAATACAAGTTTGGGGGGGTACTATTTTTCTATTGCTGTGATAAAATACCATGACCAAAGACAGTCCCAGAGGATTAGAGTCCATGATGGCAGAGCAGAAGTAGCAGGCATGTGGGTGGAGCAGAAGCTGAGGGCTCCCATCTCTGTCTACAAGCAGGAAACAGAAGGCTCATTCAAAACAGCATGTCTTTTGAAACCTCAAAGCCTGCCACCACTGACATACTTCTCCAACAAGACCACATACCCAAGCCTTCCCTAGGGATCTAGTGGTCAAATGCCCTAGATTATTGGGAGACATCTCCTTCAACCAGCACAGGAGCGTCTAAGCTGGGCTTCATAAATTAAGTGGACTGACAGGGAAAGGGAAAGACAAGAGGCTAGAAACGAATACACCAAAAGATGAAAGAATGTAGGAAGGACAGAAGAACACAGTGTGGGAAGGGATGGAGAGAAAAGCTGGAAAATTATCTGAGTGAGTCAGGTCCTTTGGGATCCTGCTGAGGTTTCTTAGGACTTCGTGTGAAAGAAGGTATATGTATGTATGCATGTACACATAGCCAAGACTTCTGCCACTTTCTAAGCGAAGGAATACCTTTAAGAACAATGAAAGAAATGCCAGAGAAAACTTAAAGCTTACCAACTGAAGTTGATGACCATATATGCCTTTTCTGGTTGTAGTAGTTCTATTTTCTAAAACTGAAAAAGTTTTGTTAGTGGACCTTTAATTATTCGGCTTTGTTATATCATTTTCAATGCATAGAAGAATATAAGTAATTTTGCTTTAATGATCTCATTTTAATATTCTGCTAAAAATATTGGAAGAAATCACACTTTTCTTGTCATGTTGAAGGGTAACAAAGTATACTATTTATTAAGTTATTAGTGACTTGAATATGAAGGATTAAAGACTAAATAATCAGATAAAGACATAATTTTAAAGATTAAAAATATTTTATTTAAACTTTTCTTCATAAACACTTTTAACTTTTTTTCAATTTAAAAACAGAATGGATAGCATAAACATGTTGAATAGATTATATCCACGGCTTGGGAAAAATTACCTGACAAAAAAATGTAAAGGCTTTTAAAACAGATATAAAAGGCAGACCTTAAATTATTCTACGATTTTACTATCGGCCCTAGGATTATTTGACTACTGGCCCCAAAAGTACCTAAAGGTTGAAATATTTTTTCTATAGACAAAGCATGCCCAAGAGTATAGGGCATGCACAAGTTAGGTAGAAAAGAACCTCTCTGATCACCTCTTAGGAACATTCCTTCAGAAAGCAAACACCCAATCCTTATTGAGATACTGATTAGTAACTTTTAATGCACTTGTTCCCAAAGAAGCCAAAAGCAAACCTAAGAATTTTAAGAGGAAACAGAGCTACAGCATTCTCAATGTTACTCACATGATATTGGGAATTATACTACTATAGTGAAAGGATGGGATTTCCATGGATTATCTATTCCAGTCCATGCCTATGGGGTATTTGAAGTAATAAACTCTCAATAAACTATTTTAGGACTTTAATTTTTAAGATAAATCTCTTTTTAGAAGATATTTATTCCCAAACCGACTCTAAATGTAGCTACACACATGTATGGTCTCTCAAAAATGTTCAGAGTACCAAACTAAACAACAAAAACACAAACAAGAAAACTGGCACTAGCAGTTTCACTGCCATATAGCCCTCGGTTATGTCTAATTTACACTATTGTCTATGTGGTTTTACTTCAGTCTGAAACTTTAAATTATGGATTCTCAAAAGAGCTAGTTTCTTCTGAGAGATAGCTTATAAACTGAAATAACGATTTATATTATAAACTGAAATGTTATGACCTACACCCACATATACATATATAAAAATAGTCCCACAAAACGTTTGACATGTTTAGATTATGCAGCTCAAATAATTTGTTATAAAATATTTTAAAGCTTAGTTTCATGTAATTAAGACAAAACTCTCCATTTTACCACTTCTTCCCCACACAAGTGTGTGTGTCCTTTACTGTGTCTCAAGCAAGCTTCCCAGAATGAGGTGTCCAAAGGTGCTGCTTTAAAAGAGATGCGAGAAAGGCTCAGTAAGTATTTCACAATTAGAGTAACATTCACACAAGGTAGAACAATGAGAACACAGAAAACGCTATCAAGAAAAGTTAACCATTCTATAATGCTTTGCCTTTTAGAAACCAGTAGCATTTCTTCTAATACAAAACCTTCAACATGAGAATCTTGTATTTTATGAAAAGGCTGTAGTGCAAGGATTTTCTTTAACGTCACAACTTAGAATGTCCAAGACACGTTAAGAAAATAAGTGGTGCCAACTAAAATGCAATTAAAGAAAATTGACTATTTTTTGTGAAGTCTAATACTTAAAATGTAAAGTGGAAGATGACACATTTAAAGATTCTAACAGTTAAACCATATAGCTTCAAACCACTTACTGAGTTTTTTCTCAGAATGACAGTCTTGTTCATATACAGACAAAGCGGTTCCAAATGAAGCACAAAAAAGCTTGGAAACTCTATGAAAAATTTTTCATAGTTTAGTATAACAAAAATAAATCTCTTGCAGCTATTAAACCATAATTTTAAAAGGGAATGTAAGTTATTGTGGATTTATAATCTAAATTAGAACTACAGTTTCCTCATACATTCAAAACCCAAGCAATAGCAACTAGTTTTAAAGCTCAAAACTGATTACTGCTAAGATTATAGTCACACATGACTTACGTGAAGCTGAACCCAGAATTAGTTCAAGTTACGATTTCATGAATTTTCTGAGACAATCGTTGACCTTGGCCTTGTATCTTCAAAATGGAAGACCAAGAATATTCAATGACATTGTGTCAAAGCAATTAAGAGAACTGCCACTGGAGTGTAAAGCCTTTGATATGGGTACCCTGTCTGATATCCTTTTCTTGGCTATTTCCAACAAAAGATATCAAGAAAAATAATGAAGACATTATTTTCTTTAAACAAACACACATAAACTTCTATTAGAAAAACATTAGATGGCTAACCTAATTTATAGTTTCCAAAAGCAAAATTATTAAACTTATTTTTAAAATAAAAAAACCTTTACCCACATTCTAATGGAAACTCAAATATCAACTTTTATTTTCAGAAATCAGAAATAAATGAAAGGCTACCTAATATAAATGGAAGGATCACATACAAAAGAAGCTAGTATTTTGATTCCTGGAAGAAGAGAAATCGGTTTTCTTTAGAAAGTGTACCTGACACTTTCTAAAATTCAAACACCTCTGGATTTACAGTTGTGAGAAATCAGGCCTTATTCACACTATGAACCGCGGCATGGAGTAAGGGGGAAAAGAAAACAAAATCTTCACATTTCCATTATTTCACACTTGCATTTTATGTTCAATGGTGCCAGCAGCAAAAATAAAACAAAACAAAGTAACTAGAAAATTTATATAACGGCAGCCATATAGAAGGCATTGCAATATTGCACCAAAATCCACAGATCTGGAAAGCTATGCCAGTGCAAGATTTAATCAGATACAGACTGCTCATGAGAAAATGGCATCAATTTGAATGATCCACTCACAGATCACTCTTAATTTTGTCAGCTATATTTTCTTCCTTTGCATTTGAAGAGTTGAAATACGCAGTTAAGCCTAAACTATTAATTATAAATGCCTTTAAAACAGCTATTCAAGAGTCATTCCAAACTTTCTGTTGACTATCTTTCATGCTAGTAGCTTCCAGAAACTAAAAAGATGTTGAGGGTTGACATATCTCACTAGTGCCACTGAATACTTTGCACAAACCTATCAAGCAGATATAACCAGTAACATTATAGCTCATTTCTCACCTCGCAGTCAAAACTGAGCTCAAACTGTGTAAGAGTTGCTGCCCCCTATTCATCACCTACAGCAGTCTTACTGAATAGAAACAATGGGACTTGTACTTACTTTTAAGGGGATTTTACTTAGTATGGCATTACCTAACTTTTCTTTAAAAGTGCTTGCACGCTGCAGGGTCAGAGCTTGACACAGACCACTCTGATTATCACTAAAACAGGGTAACCAACATCAAACAGACTGCAAAGAAAAACATTTTCAAACGAGATAAAACATACATTGATATGAAATATTAACGTTTAGCTTTGAAAACAAAATGTAAAACATTACTTTTTTAAAATCCATACATGTTTCTGAAATATGAGTGCAAATTTTACTGAACCAGTATGGACTGAAGAAAGACTACTTTGATCCCAAATGAGTACTCCAGTTATTTTAACTTTCTAAAAACATTAATACATTAAAGACGTTACACCTAAGTTTCAACAAGTATGGCAAACTGTATGTGCAAGTGCACTAGCTTAAAAATATAGACTCCTAACCACGCATAAAAGGGGTGTGCCTTATATATTTATAGGATGTATGTGAGTATGGATACGCTTTCACTAACACAATGCAGATAAGAGAAGGCAGCTTAGAAATAGTGTTCTGATATAAAAAACTTTTGTAGAAAATTTAAATTTTTGCATTTTCAGCAAAAAGCCATGCACAAAGGTCAAGAGTTTTATACTTTTAAATAATAAACCAAAACATATAGTGGACTAAAATAATGTCCAAAAAGAGTTCAGCTAGAGGGACTGAAATCACATCCAGTGACACTTACTGGGTCTTCTCTTAGAAGATGCACAAATCCTATACTAACATCTGAAAGAAATGTTTAAAGCAGAAAATCAACTTCCCAGGTAAGTAGAGCAGTGTATTAACTGCTTTTGGAAGTAGTTTCAAGAGCTAGCGCTTTAAATGAACTTATTGCATGAGTTTGAGGCCACTGAAAGGAAAAGAAAGATGCTAGCACAGAATGAAAACTTACAATATTAGACCAATGGCTTTGATAATAAAACTGGTGAGGTTTTTCTTTATGCTTTTAAACTACTTTATCACAAATGCTTTATTTGCCTTTTCCTTTTTTTAGGGAGAAAGATTTCATCAGTTGCAACGTCTAACCTCATCTAGTACATAGTCCGGAAAATGTAGGTTGCATACTTGTAAACCATCTAGCTTGCAGGGCATCCGAGGGTACTCATCTTCCTTCCACTTATTTTCATCTGGGTCAAAGGTGAGAATAGAATCACTGTAATGACCATTATAACAAAGGCCTCCAAGGACCATTATCTGTTTGTCCAGTACAGTCACACCATGGCCACTTCTACCAATTGGCATCGATGCCAAGATGGTCCACTGATCAGTATCTGGGTTGTACACCTCTGTGGAAGGGCATCCCTGAGATTCAAAAGAGGCCCTCAAGATCACACAGACACCACCGAAGACATAAAGCTTGCCATTGTAAGATATCATCTTGTGAAAGCATCTGGCATAATTCATCTTGCTCTTATTCTCCCAGCAGTTGGTGACCACTTGAGTTCTTCTGGTCCGCTGTTCTATGGTCCCTTCTTTACTGGGGTCAAATACACACACTTGTTTAGATGTGGAAGATGAAGTGATTCCTCCAGTGATAAACAACTTATTATTGAGCACTGTCCCCTCATGTCCATATTTGTTGACTGGATAAGGATCTACAAATTCCCATTTATCATTAATGATATCATATCTCTCAGTTGAGTAGAAAGTTTCATCTCTTGTTCTGCCTGCCACAGCATAAATAAACTTTCCAATAACACCAACAGCAAATTCTGAACGGGGTACAGACATGTCTGCCATGCGCAGCCAAGAATTTTGTCTTGGATCATACCTGAACACTTTCGAAGAGGCATGGAATTCACCATCTGGGCCTAGTTCTTCTCCACCTAACAGGAATACAAAATTATTGACAATAGCAAGGCAGTCTGGCCTTAGAGGTACTTGGGGGCCCTCCAGTTCCCACCAGACTCTTGGTTTCTTCAGAAGTAGTATTTTACTGTTAACCATGCTATGTCCAATCATTCCTCGGAATACTGTAGTTTGGGGTTTGGCAGAACGAATACGGCTTGATTTCATGTCTAGCAAGGGTTGTTGGTGAATGTTCTGGAAGTAGCTGAGTGCTTGGTCAACTTCATAGCGTAGCTGTCGAGAGTATCTATAAAATTCTGATGTTTTAACCTAGGAATACAAGTGAAAGAATTTAATCAAAAGAAAAAGCATGAGAGTAAAACAAACTATCAATGCTTACTAAGATGATCAAGATATCACTTTAAGACTCCTTTGGTAAAACTGCTTTTCCTGACAAAATTATTTACTTTGTTTTCTACAAAGCTTTTCATTGTATTTATTATTGTAACTTGTATTTATAATCACATATATATGTTCCCAAGCCTTTAAAAGTAAACACTCTCAGCCAACTGGTGGTGGTAGTTATGGTGGTGGTGGCAGTGCATGCCTTTAGAGGCAGAGGCAGGCAAATCTCTGTGAGTTTGAGGCCAGCTGGCCTACAAAGAAAGTTCCAGGACAGCCAGAGCTGTTACACAGAAACTCTGTCTCAAAACACAAAGGGGGAAAAAGTAAACACTCTCCTTTTCAGGTACAAGTTAATTTTTAAACAGAACAGGATTCATGAAAAAGTCTACCATCAGACACTATTATATGTTAGACCGTAGGCTACAAGTGGGGATCAGATCAAAAACAGGGCTTCACTTGCAGTTTTCTTAACCAATGATAATATATACCATAAAACAACCTCAAGAGAATGTGGAGAGTTATGGTACTGAGTTAGTGGAAACTTTACATACACAATTTCCAGTAGATTTTTAACATGAAGACTTTTAGTGTGACATCAACAACTCCTATAGTAACAATTCAGCAGAAATAACATGCCAACTGTTCCTTTCTGGTTTTGGAAATACTACCTTAGGATGACTACTATTAAGGTCTTAGGAAACACTTTTAAGTGCTATACTAGGCAATATTGGTAGATATAAGGTAAGTGTAATAAGTGGCTTATTTCCTCAAAGATCCTCTATTGCATTTTTGTCATTAAAAACGGGGGTTTCCCCCCGATTTCCAACATCCTCTTCTACAAAGTATTTCTTGGGTATATTAGGTTGGTCTGATATGTTCTTACACCTACATTTAAAGTGCTACTATACAGATATGTGCCATACTACTTCAGATCTGTCAACTGATTCTCTTGGCCTATTTACTATGTTTTCGTTTTTTCTAAATACCAACCTGAAATACCCATGAAATACTTTGTAAAAGAGGATGCTGGAAATTATCAGGGAAAAAATCTTGTTTTTAATGACGAGGATGTAGTAAGAGGATCTTAAACATGACATGAGAAATGAAACACTATGGAGACAGACAAAAATCTCTCAGATAAGGGCTAGAGATGTAGCTAAGTAGTAGAGTACCTGTCTACCATGTGGAGAGGCCCTGGGTGCCTTCTTCAGCCCTGGAAACAATTCTACAAATGACTATGACTAATTTGAAACCAAGCAGAGTAGAAGAGCAAGAACTTTAATGTAATTTGACATTTAAACTTGAGGCATTATATGAGTGTTGGATTATCAATATAAGGAAAGCAGCTAGGTTTGGGGAGAGGTATTCAATTTCCTAGCAGGAAAATTGGTGGCAGTGTGAAGGAGGAAACTTCTAGGAGCCTTGTTAGAAATCCAAAAAGATAGCTCAAGAAAAAGTCAAAAGCATATATATGAGCTTCTCCTCCTCCCTTCTTAGGTTTCTTTATTAATCCATCCTGTCTGTCATTAATTCTCCCATATAAGTACAAAAAGATATCAGATATTATAAGCTATCAAAGTTAAATGTTTTCTTCACTGTATTTAATATAACTGATTTGATCTTAAATTCCAGGCATTTCATTTATGCAAATAAGACCTCATGTTGATATGGAGGTTCCCTCCATGGGCTTCATTAGACTAGCAAAGGTAGAACATCTTGTCTAACTCCAGAAGATGCAAAATAATAGTTGTGTTGGGCACTTCACATGTGTAAATCTTGTTAAAATTATTACACCTGTGAGAGAAAAGTAACAATTCTTGATTTCTTGCTAAGAAAATTGAGGCTTAGGATATTAAGTGACTTATTTACTCACTCAAATTATTTCATAACTAAAACTGGTAGATCCAGGATCTGAAGACGACTTTACTCTAAAGTTCATATAATTTCCAGTATGTTAGGAATACAGCTTCTATTCTGCTTTAGAAAAATCTGAAAATATTATGTTCATTGGTTAAAAAAAAACCCTAGATAGCTGGGTGGTGGTGATACACACTTTTAATCCCAGCACTCAGGAGACAGAGGCAGATGGATCTGTGTGAGTTTAAGGTCACCCTGGTTTACAGAGGGAGTTCCAGGACAGCCAGAGTCACACAAAGAAACCCTGTCTCAAAAAACCACAAAGATAAAAATCCTAGCAAGAGATTAAACCTAATGGCTTTTCTCAAAGAAAAAGACTCTAACTCTCCTTAACAAAACCTATCAGTAATGGCTGGTGGGCTGGTGCATGCTTGTAATTTTAGCACTTGGGAAGTGGAAACGGGGGATCAGAACTGCAAGACCATCTTTGACTACATAGCAAATTTGAAGCCAGCCTGGGCTACATGAAAGTGTATCTCAAAATAAAAAAATCAGTTGCTGGGATGACAATGATTATACATTCAGCTCAATTCTTTCTAGTAAAACAAGTATAGAAGAATTGAGCAAATAAAAACTATAAACTAATTATTGCAATAAAGGAAAATATGAAAAAGACTTTACTACTTTAGTTCACATATTTAAAAAGCTTTAATCTCTTAGGAGAAATAATGGGATAATAGTTCAGCAACTAAGGATAATATCTGATTATTTATGAACATGGAAAGATGCTCACAAAATATTCAGTCATTTGTTTTTATTATTATTTTTGTTTGCTTTTTTCAAGACAGGGTTTCTTTGTATACAGCCTCAGCTGTCCTGCAACTCACTCTGTAGACCAGGCTGTCCTTGAACTCAGAGATATCCACCTGTCTCTGCCTCCTGCCTGCCTGCTGGGATTAAAGGAATGTACCACCACCTGAATCAGTTATTTTATTGATACTGATGATTGAACTTAGGTCTTGAATGCCAGGTAAGCATCCCACCAACTGAGACATATTCCAAACTCCCACAGTATGTTCTGTTCACTTTCTGCAGAACAGCACCCTGGCACCACACCAATTAAATACATTTTTATATAAGCTTACTTACGTTAGTAGTGATTGTCTCTGAAATTTCATGAATATTTTGGTTCCTTATCATGTATCATATTTATAAATAAAAACTGAGTTATTTCCATTTTTAAAATGGGTCTCAAAGAATTGGAGGTATATAGCAGAGCACTTGCCTAGCACATGTAAGACCAGGGTTTGATTCCCAGCACCCTGAAAAAAAAAGTTAAAACCATCAAATGTCTACTTCAAGCTAGTCATGGTGGCAAATGTCTGGAATCCAGTCCACAGTAGGTTGCTGAGCAGAAGCCAGCCTGGATTAACCAATGAAATCTTGTTTTGTTTTGGGTTTTTTTTGAGGGGGCAGATACAGTAGTTTAAAATTTCGTAAGTAAAAATGAGTATTTTTCTATTTTCCTTTCCTATTCACTTTTTCTATAATTGCCTAATGGTGTGCTTTATTAATTTATCATTTTCTTATTGATGTGTTGGAACTAAAAGTTCATACTCTGTAATTATGAACTAACAAGAATTAATGTAAAATTAACAAGAATTAATCATGGTGATGCAAGGTATAATCCTACCAGTCAGAAAGATTGGAGTTTAAGGTCATCTTTATCTATATAGGAAGATGGATGCCAGTCTGAACTACATGAAACCCTATCTTGAAAGAGAGAAGGGAGGGAGGGAGGGAGGGAGGGAGGGAGGGAGGGAGGGAGGGAGGGAGGGAGGGAGGGAGGGAGGGAAGGAGGGTAGGGAAAAACTAAATTAACAGGGACCACAAACCTCAAATTACATATTTAAGTGTCTAATGTGCACAACCAGTGGTCTGGATGCCACACAAATTTTCCAATAATAGGATTTTGTCCAGCACAGTAATTAAACATCTTATCAAGCAATTCAGTATGGAGCTTAAGAATTCAATCTAGAAAATTTCTGATTTGGAAACACATTAGCTGTACCTTAAACCTTTTTAAATGTGCGTTGGTATTTGGCCTGCATGTATGTCTGTGTGAAGGTGTCAGAATCCCTGGAACTGGAGTTACAGACAGTTGTGAGCTGCCATGTGGGTACTGGGAATTAAACCCGGGTCCTCTGGAAGAGCAGCCAGTGCTCTTAACCACTGAGCCATCCCTCCAGGCCCAATTTTGGAATTTTAATCCTATTACCTCATCTGTTATTATTGGGGTAACAATAGCACCCATGCTTCTTAACTTTGTGGCAGAGATGACTGAGATAGACCAGGTGCAAAGGATTTAGTTTGGTGTCTGTCTTGTGCCCATGTATAAAAGTCATCAATTGTTACATTAAAAGTTAGTTTGTAGAGTAAGACAGAAATGAGAGGAACCTATTTCGGACCTAACCCTTTAGTAGAAACATGACTGGTGATATACTAATAGAATACTTATTTACAGAAAGCAGCCTTGTTCAGAGATTGTGAAAGGAGAAGTGTTTCAAAAGCAAATCAGAACTTTGCAAGGAAGCTTAGGAAGGCTTGGGGGTTCTGTGAAGTATAATACTAACTCAATTGCAAAACACACTGAGGAGACAAAAAACAAAGCTACTTGATGTGGCACACAGAGTTATTTGGAATGGAATGGAATACTCATAGAGCAAGTACTATAAAGTGGAATGAAACTGTAAGAATGCAGTAAAATGCCGAAACTTTACAAAGTATCAGATATTAAACAAAAAGTAGAAGAAAAAGTGAAATTTACCCATGAACTACTTAATGTATTAACAAACAAAGCCTTAGGTGGCACCTGCCTTTAATCCCAGCACTTGGGAGGCAGAGGTAGATGGATCTCTGTGAGTTACAAATATACATAATACATTCCAGGCCAACCCTATCTCAAAGAAAAAAATTAGTTGAATGAACTATGGCATATATCATTATATTTAATGACTGTATATGGCATATAAAATGAACCTAAAATGTACTGACGATGTTCAAAATGT